CTGACCAGACATGGAAGTGCCTGAGAATGTGGGGGGAGAGGGTCTCCCATTACCTGAAGGTTTGTTTTTTCAATTGGAAGCTGAATGGGGAATACTTGTTGGGATACTGTCAAAGGAATTCTTGCTCAGGTCCTTCAAAACCTTTTGTTGCTGTTTCAGCCATTTCTGACTCTTCATGACCCCATTTGAAGTTTTCATGGAAAAGACACTGAAATAGTGTGCGATTTCCTTCTCTGATTTATTTTTACAGATGAGGGAACTAAGGCAGACAGGATTAAGTGACCTGCCCAGGGTCACACAGCTAGTAAAGTGTCTTATGTCAGATTTGAAAGTCTTCCTGACTTTCGGCCTAGGGCTCTATCCACTGCACCACATAGCTTCTCCTTTTCCAACTCCAGAGATCTCTATTTATGGATATCTTAATTATTAAATTTATCATCATCATCAGCATCATCATCATATGTTTGCCCTGAGCTTTATTGCCTTTTCTTATGGTCTTTAAAACAACTCTACACTCAAAGTACATATAACATATAGAGATAGATAGATAGATAGATAGATAGATAGATAGATAGATAGATAGATAAATAGATAGATAGATAGATAGATATAATGCAGATATAGAAATTTCTCTTTTTTTTCTCTTGGTATTGTTTTGTTTAAGTCTTCCACAGTTTTTTTTTTAATTCTGCACAATTGCCATTCATTGTGGCAACACTTTTTTCAAGAAATTATTTCTATGTATTTGTTTCTGGTTTTTTTCCCCTCTTTTAAATGTCAGTAGCATAAAAAAACTACTCGTTCAGATGATCCTGTTCTTCTCACTGCCTCAGAACATGATGGTGACGCTCAGGTTTAGCTGAGGTACACCATGGTGGCTGCTGCCTTGTTGGAGTGGTCTCACCAGCAGTGTGTGGCACTATGGGCTGCTGTGCCCCCTAGCAGGGTCCTTGTACAAGGGCCTTCCCGAGGGCAGCCCCGGGGCGAGGGAGGGAGGGGGCATTCCCTTAAGGCTTCTTTTCCCTTGATCTGTTTAGCAGTTTCCTCCACCTTGGCTGGACCCCCTAAGAGACTACTGAAGTTTGCCATAAAGTTGTATTATCATGGCATCCAGAGAATGGGATAAATTATCTAGATTGAGAGAACATAGTGAGATGAGAGGGAGAATGAACCTCAATCACAAGGCTAAGAGAAGAAAATTGAAATGAAGAGTTAAAAAAAAAAGAAAGAAAATCTATCCCACAGATCTTGTAATAAATTGTCCCCATTTCCCAAGAACATATGCACTGCTCATAAAAGGGGTCAAAGTCGAGTGCCTTCTCAGCAAAGAGCCATTCTGATGGCTTGCTGATTGTCATAAAAGGCAATGCTGTCCCCATTTTGCAGGAGGGGATTCTGAACATTGCACACTCCAGTCAGATTAATTTCACTGGACAAGTTACAGGCGGAAGTAATATACCATTTTTAATGGCCAGACCAGGCAAAAGGATGACCTGCCTTCTGTAAATTGATTTCCATCGGGCTTTTTGTTTCATTCTAATTGATTGTGGAGAGTATTGCAGTTAACAGCCATGATTTTACAATACGATTTAAGTCACCCAAAGAAGCCACTCTTTGCATGACAATGGAAGGACTTTGACCAGAGAGGGAAGGGCAAAAAAAAAAATATCATTACAGTTATGCATTTCAAATGCTCAGGTATAGCCAGAAAACAAAGGTTTTGTGAGCATTATAGATATGTCTTACAACACAGGACTTAGAGCTGTAGGTCCTTCAAGCATCCATGATTTTATCAGTATGGACAACAAACTGCAAACTTCTCTGGGATCTGGTAAATGAACCTCAATAATACCTAATAATAATAATAGTTTTCATTTACATAATGGTTCAATTTGTGCAAAGGGCTTTATGTATGTCATCTCATAAGATCTTTTTAATAACCCTGCGAAGCAGGTGCTATTACTATTCCTATTTTACAGATGAGGAAGTGAAGCAGTAAGAGTCTGAGGAAGAATTCAAACTCAGATCTTCCCAAATCAAACCCAGCACTCTCTAAACAGTACTGTTATTTGCCCTCAAAAGTGAGTGAGGCTGAAAATCCCTTCCAACTAAGTGGCAAGCTTCTAGGAACTTAAGTAGGCAGATTTTTTGGATACCAGAAATGGCAGAAACCTGGCCCGAGTGGAAAAAAGGAAGTGGAAAGTGGAAAAGTGGAAAGTGCAAAAACATCATGATTCTCTGTAGTGTGTCTGCTCTAGTTCCGTTTCTTTATGAAGTCTAGAATTTAGGGGACTCCCACATAGGCTGCTAGACCATAGGATCACAGCACTTTAAGCTAGAATGGAATTTGCAAATCAGCTAGTTCACTTTTGTCTTTATCAGTGGACAATAAGGAACTTGCCCAAGGTGTTACAATTAGTAGGTTATCAAAGCCATGACTTCAAAGTGCTTCTCCTCTGATTCCAAATACAGTGAACTTTCCTTTACAGGAAGACATTTTTTTCCCCTTGGGTCATTTTGGTCCTTCACCAGCCATTTGGGTTAATAACAAAATTATCTAATTCCATTTGCCAATGTGGGGATTTGTGAATAAGAAACTGAATTCTAGGGAATACAGCTGGTCAATGTGAGTCTGCAAACAGTCACTCCATTGTCACATGTCAATTGCACAAACAAAATTAACAATCCACCTTTCCAAATTTGGGAAGTGATGTTCCTGTAGCAACTTGGTTTTCTTTTATTTTGTTTTCCCCCTTTTCTTGAAAGATATGACAGATGCTCCACCACTCAGATTTTAGGGGCTACTCTCTGAGTTGGTGATTCTAGTGGTATTCTGAGCTCAGTTCATTGATTTCTGGGCAGAACTTTAGTCAATTAACTGGAAGCCTACTCTTAAGGTGGCCACTAAAGAGTAACTCTCTATGACTGAATACACAGCATTCAGTTTCTGGAATTTCAGGGTTCCCACCCTGTGTTGTGCTGGAAATAGTTTGCACTGAGGATACAAAAAGCATTCATTGAGTATCTGAAATGTTTGTTTATTGGATAAATCTAGCACCATGTTAGATACACAGGGCACCCGAAGAGGACATTGAAAGCAGAAGGCAGTGAAGGCCGCAATGAAAGAATGCAAAATGTCAGTCTGCTTCTGTGTGGCGATTATTTTAGCATTATGCTCCAGGGACCTGAGGTTCTTCAGGCCTGGGCCTGGAGTCAAGATGTGGATGCAAATAAACTTACTAGCTGGGGAACTCTGATCAAGTGCCTTAACCAGCATGCCTCAGTTCAGTCAACTGTAAAATAGTAACAATAATAACACCTACATCCCAGGATTGCGGTGCAGATCTGATGAGCTATTTGGAAAAGCACTTAGAGCTGCTCCTGGCACATAGTAGGCACTTAGTAAATGCTTATTTTTTTCCTCTTCCTTCCCTTCCTTCCTTCCTCTCTTCCTTCCTTCCTTCCTTCCTTCCTTCCATCATCTCTTCCTTCCTTCCTTCCTCTCTTCCTTCCTTCCTCCCTCCCTTCCTTCCTTCCTTCCTTCCTTCCTTCCTTCCTTCCTTCCTTCCTTCCTTCCTTCCTTCCTTCCTTCCTTCCTTCCTTCCTTCCTCTATTGCTTCCTCCCTTCCTTCCTTCTTTCCTTCAGTTTGTTCAGATGTAAAACAAAGGAGCTTGTAATTGTTGCACACAAATGAATCTAAATGGAACGTCAATGTGGCCAACAAAACAACAAATATGAAGAAGTCAGAGAATCACGGGAAGATGTGATAGGACAGACACCAAAGCAAGCCAGACGAGGAAAATAAGATATAAGCAGTGACAACAATATAACTGAAAGAATGAAATCATAAACCTGAACCCTGCCTAATTAAAAATAGCCAAAGCGGCCCCAGAGAAGAGTGGAAACAAGTCTGTGTGCGACTCTCTTGTTGTTGCAAGGCAAGGAGATCATGGATAAGGCACATCCCATACATTTTCACCCATTATTGATATGATTGTTGGCACAATACTTGGCCCACAGCAGGTGTTTAATAAATATTTGTTCACTCGATGTGGTTTGTTTTATCTGATTTTTTGGAAATCCTTTTTTAAAATGTTTTCTCTAGTGAATGAATATGATATAAAAATAAAGCTCTCAACAATGTGTTTTTCTTTTAAATTAAGGGGTTCACCTAATGTACCTCTAGAGCCCCTCCCTTTTACTTTCACCGAAAATCCACAAGATGAATCATTTGCTAAGCTTTGCTTTGTGTGGGGGTAGGAATGACCTCACTTTGCTGACAAAGTGTTTCATCGCTTACATCAACCAGTCAAGAACCTGGGTCATTGGCAGTTTAGGAACACGCTCTATCAGGGTGGATCTCAAGCTGTCTGTGACTCTGGTGATCAGATTAAGAGAGCTGCCTAAGACTCGGAGAGGTTAAAGGACTTCCACGTGGCCACAAAGCTGCATGGCAAAGGCATGAAAAGAATCCAGACCTCCCTGAGAAGAGTTCGGGGGTCCGCTTGTCTGTGATGACACCACCTTGACTTTGTTCCCCATCCGACATATGAAAACAACAGGGACAACACACACTGCGGGTGTGACTCTATCAGATCTAGCAAATGTCAAAGCCCTTTGCTTTTCTCATCTCGCGTGAAGCTCGGGCTTCTGCGGGCGGGCAGGCGCTGCTGGTTTTCCCACTTTCCTAAGAGAGACAATGAGCACCCTGCGCAGAGACCAACAGTTATTGAATGCCTGAGTGTGGATTGGGATCTCAGGTCCTCATAACTTCTCTACCCACCACCCTACACTGCCTCTGCTGTATATATGCATCATGTTAAATTTGCAAAGTGTGTGACACCATCAGTGCATTTGTCCAGAAACACCGAACCTGGTGCCTGACCCCAAGAAATCACTCGACACCTGCTTATCAGCTGACCGACACTCACAGGCCGCCCCGAGACAGCGCATGCTGAGGATGTTTGGAAAAGCGGAAGCAGAGTGCTGGTTTGCTTACCATGTACCAGTTGATATTTGGCTTAACACTGGGAGGAAAAAATCCCCTTATGTTTGGACACTTTACAATCTGCAGGGTATGTTGCAGATATATATATTCCGTGGGCACCGTCATTGCTGATTTGAAACAGTTGTCTTTCTGAATGACTTCCAATGGAAAGGCTACTTTGCTGCAGTATGTAGTATTTCTGAAGAAGAGAGAAAGAAGGGAGACAACCGTTAGGTGGGTCTGACTGGCGGCCGAGGCCAGGGACACTTGCTATCTGCACATGAGACAGCGCGGCTCTGGAGGGGAATCATGTACTGAGACACTTTACTCAATAGAAAGGTCCTCAGAAAAGCACCAGGCCAGCCTCCAGGCAAACAGCAATCCCCAAAGACAACAGAGCATCCAGTCTTTGCTTGAAGCCCTCCAGTAAGTGGGAGCTCACTACCATATTAGCCAGTCCACAGTACATTTGGACAACTCAGACTATTAGAGCATTGTTTTTCCTCCTATCAACCATAAATCTGCCTCTTTCCAGCTTTCTACCATTTCTCCTCATTTGGCCTCTAGGGACCAAGCCAAATGTGTCAATGCTATACTCCATCGGACAGCCTTTCAAGCATTAAAGATAGCAACCATCTTCTTGCTGAGCTTCTGTTCCAGGTTAAACACTGCTGTTCTTGCAATGGACTCTCATGTGGCTGGACTGCCAAGTCTTTCACCATCTTCGTGACATTTCTCTGGCTTCCTTTCACCTTATTAATATTCTCACTACAATGTGGTGCCATGATTTGACCTAAAGGCTTGGTAGAAGACTGGTAAGCAGCCAGGTAGGTAGACAGATAAGAAAGGAGGCAGGCAGGCAGGCAGGCAGGCAGGAAGGAAGGAAGGAAGGAAGGAAGGAAGGAAGGAAGGAAGGAAAAAAAATTGCCTTCCTGCTGTTAATAGCATCAACTACTATTTGCCTGGGCAATATATCAGGTATGTTTTTAGCTGCAGCTGGGCCTCTAGGCAGTTAGACGTCACAGTAGATACAGGGCTGAGCCTGGAATCAGGAAGACCTGAGGTCAAATTAAGACTCAGGCACTTACTGGGTGTGTGAATCTAGGCAAGTCCCTTAACCTCTGTTTCAGTTTCCTTATTTGTAAAATGAGGGTAATAACAGCATTGACCTCCGAGGCTGTTTGAGGATTAAATGGGATGTTTGTTTTGGCTTTAAAATGTTGTTTTAGCTTGGTGCTTGCAACATATTCGACACTTAATAATTGTTTATTTCCTTTCTCCTCTCTTCTCCCCCTTTCCTTCTTTGTTTCTTCCCTCCCTCTTTCCTTCTCTACCTCCTTTTCCTTTCCCCCTTCTTCCCTCCCTTCCTTCCTCCTTCCCTCCCTTCTTTTCTTCCTCCTTTCTTCCTTTCTTCTCTTCCTCCCTCTCTTCCTCCCTTCCTCCCTTCCCTCCTTCCTTTCTCCCTCCCTCCCTCCCTTCCCATATCACAGAAAAGGAAAATTGGAACCAGAGACATTAAATGATCTGTCCAACATCACACAGTAAGTAAGAGTTTAGCACCAGGGTTTGTAATCAGTTCTTCTGACTCCAAATGAAGTCCTTTGCACTATGGGAAAGGGCTACAGACAAACATGGGGATGCTGAGAAACCTGGAGCAGGGCAGTGGGGACAGTGAAACTGTGAGCGAGGCTGCAGGAGCCAACTGGAAGTTGGAGGCCATGCTCTCACTCTCAGGCTGCCAAGACAGCTTGTTTTTTGTTTGTGTGTTTTGGTTTGTTTTGGTTATTGTAGCGTGTGTGTGTGTGTGTGTGTGTGTGTGTGTGTGTGTGTGTGTTGGTACATTCAATAGTGTGCTGCCTCTGTGAATACAGGGCAGAGTACAGGCAGGGATAGCTCTTTGCCCCCGCTCTTGGCCATATCCCATCACCCGGCCCCTCCCAACCCTACAAGGCTGGGCTCCCACAGGCTCCTTCTCACTTGTTCATCTCCTCCCTCCTGCTCCCCATATGTCTCATCCAGAGACAGCATCACCCTAGCAACCTCCCCCACCTTAGCATGCAGGTGTAGTTGCCCGTGTCATTGAGCAGAGTGGGCCGGAACCAAATGAGGTCCTTCTCCTTGCTGATCCGGTTGTCAGGGAGACGGAAGTTGATAGGCTCTTCCAGGTCCTGGTCCTGCCCAATCCAATACCAGATGAGGGTTAGGCCGGCTGAGTGGGCCGTGCTATAGTTAAACTTTAAGTAGTGTTCAAAGAGTGGGCACTGGATATAGGCCGGCTCCCCCTCGTACACCTGGGTCTGCTTTGTGGTGTCCAGACCCCAGTCATCGCAGCGCTCTGGAAGAAAGAGGGAGATGGGATTTATTCCATGCCAAGACATCCCACTTCTGGACCAGCCTGGGCTGCAGCTTCTGCCTGGCAAATCTGCAGGTCACACAACCTTTCATGAAAATATTAGTGAATAAGGTATGCAAAAGATTGAAAACTTGAAATGTATTCCTGATGCATATACTAAAGGTCTTAAATACTCACTAAGTGTGTAACATTTTACAGTTTCTGACATTTGGAGAGAAAAGCAAGGCCATTACCATGCCATGAAGGACAGAAGGAAGACTTATTTGTTTTCCAAAGAAAATTTGTATTTTACATCTGCTTATTCTTCAGTCTGTGCTATTGCAGAGAGCGCCTCCCTGAAGGCCCATGGGCGTGGCCAGTATAAGCAGAGCTGAAAGATACCACAGACTCAAGATTTCTCCGAGGCCAGGCATGGCCAGAAAAATGAGGACTGATGTATTTGAAGAATGTGAGCTAATTTATTTGCTTTTTACCCAAACTCCTGAAATTAAAAGTCTAGTTGTTAAAAATGGACATCACCATGGCCCTTTGCGAATCAGTTTTTAAAGGTTGACTTTGCCCCCCGTAGGTTGAATACAATGACATGAACTGACACAGCCACCTTATGTCAAAGTCCTTTTGTTGAAGGCTTTTTTTAAAATTAGGTAGGTTGCACAATGAATAGGGTGTTGAACTTGGAGTCAGAAAGATCCAAGTTCAAATTCTGACATGGACACTCACTCATCTATTTAAGATGATCTTTGGAAAATCATTCTCTACCCATCTGGAAAATGGGGATAATAATGGATAGTAATAGTCCCTACCTCTCAACATTGTTGTGAGAATAAAATTAGATACTGTTTGTAAAGCAATGTGTGTACATACATTTGTGATATGTATACATATACTTCTATAAATGTGTACATATAAGACTATACAAATATATGCATGTATTCTTGTTATTCAGTCATTTGTTGTTTCTAAGTGACCCCATTTGGGGTTTTCTTGGCAGAGATAGAAGAGTGGTTGGCCATTTCCTTCTCCAGCTAATTTTACAGATGAGGAAACTGAGGCAGACAAGGTGGCTTATCTGGGGGGTCACAAAGTCAGAGGGAATAAGAGGCAGGATTTGACATCTGGTCTTTTGTACTCTAAGGCCAGCTTTCTTTCCACTACTATGCTCCACTGTCTTTCGGGTGAATACACATGACAGCTTAGCAAAAATTCTAACACAATGAGTCAGATATTTTCACTGCCAACATGGGGGACCTAAAACACGGTGATTCAATCACTGCCAAGCTCGTGGCTCTGGTGACTGGAGATGTAGGTAAGAATCTGAGAGTGCCTGAAGCAAAGTTGAGGGGGATGGATGCAGAGGACCATCACTTTCTTGGATATGGTCCGTAGGAACTGAGCGAGCACCAGTAGGTGAAGTGTGAAGTTCAGACTTCTGGGAAAGCAGAAAGACCTGAAAGTCCTAGGAGTGGGAAAGAGAGAGGTAGAGTTATCCTGGTCCGTTATACTCTCCTAGTAAGCCCTTGGAAGGGCCTCAAGTTGGGAGAGGAATGGGATCCTCTTGACTCCTTGATGTAGCCACAAAGGACAACCTCAAGTAGCATGGCTAGGGTTGGGGGTGGTGGAAGGCAGGCACAGTGATGGAGGAAATATGTGGGACCATATCATTCTTCCAAAAAACCTGTAAAGTCATTGCTATTTGTTAATACCCTAATGTGACAGATAAAGAAACTGAGGCTGAGAGGTTAGTTACTTGTCCAGAATCACACAGCTACTATCTGTCTGAGGCTAATACCTGAAGACCTGAGACCTCAGGTCTGCAGAAGTTGATGGACAGCATTTTATCTACTATGTAAAACTTGATGTCTCCTCATGTTGCCACCACCATTCCAAAAGTCAGAAAAAAAGACTTGGGGAAAACCAGGCCATGTATTTTAGAAAATCCTTATTGAAACATAAATATTAACAAATGAATAGGGCTAGGAACAAATGAGCTTCATAAAGTCAAGAAGGCAAGACACATTTATTAATCGCTTACTGTCTGAGTTTAAAAGTTTCAAAGCCATTTACAGATACTGTCTCATTTGATCCTTACAGAAACCTCATAAAATAAAAGTCAGAAGAATAATTATTTAATCATAATCATAATCATATAATGGTAAAGTATCATTATTCAATTAAATAATAATCCATTTTCCAAATGAGGAAACTGAGGGCTGACATTAAATGGTTCAAGGGTAACACAGTAAGTGTCAAAAGCAGGATTTGAACCAGGGGCTTTCTATTCCCAGATACAACTATAGCATGAAGAACAGTCATTTAATCTGTCTATTGGTATTTACTGAGGGCCTCATGTGTGCCCAGCATGGTACTACACGCCATGGGGGACATGATGAAAGCCCATCTCTGGGGGATCTCCTTGCTGGCAGCTAAGTGGCATCCTGGATAGAGCATTGGACCTCTTGTCAGGAAGACTGAAATTCCAATGCAGCCTCAGATACTTCTTACCTGTCTGCCCCTGGGCAAGTGACTTCATCTCTGTCTGCCTCAGTTTTCTCAAATGTAAAATGAGGATAATAATATCTTCTACCTCCCAGAGTTACTGTGAGGGTCCAATAAAATATTTGCAAGTTGCTAAGCACAATGCCTGTAACATAGTAGGTGCTCAATAAATGCTCATCCAATGTGGAACTATGCCTAAAAGGCTATAAAACTGTGCATACCCTTTGATCCAGCAATACTATTATTATGTATGCATGCCAAAGAGATCACAAAAAAGGGGAAAGGACCCACATGTACAAATATATTGATAGCAGCTTTTTTGTGATGGCCAAGAATGGGAAATTGAGGAAATGCCCATACATTGGGAATGGCTGTACAAGTTGTGGGATATGAATGTAATGGAATATTATATTCCATAAGAAATGATGAGCAGGCTGACTTCAGACAAACCTAGAAAGACATGCATGAACTGATGCTGAGTGCAGCGAATAGAACCAAGAGAACACTGTACATGGTAAGAGCAACACTGTGGGATGACTGATTTGGTAGACGTGGCTCTTCTCAGCAACGCAATGATCTAAGCCATCTCCAGAGGCCTCATGATGGACAACGCTGTCCACACCCAGAGAAAGAGCCGTGGAGTCTGAAGGCAGACGGAAGCCGATGGTTTTCACTTGTTGTTTTTGTTGCTGCTGCTTTTTTTCTTTCTCGTGGCTTTTCCCTTTTGTTCTGATTCTTCTTTCACAACATGACTAATGTGAAGTATGTTTCACATGATTGCCCATGTATAGTCTATAGCAGATCGCTTACTGTCTTGGGAAGGAGGGAGGAGAGGGGGGACATTTAGAACTCAAAATCCTACAAAAGTGAAAGTTTAAAACGAAAAATAACCTGATTTTTAAATGTTCATTCCTTTCTCTCCCTCTCCTTTCCTCGTTCCCACTCAGAGTATCCTCTTCCTCCTTGACTTTTCTAAGTACTTCATCTGAGTAACTCCCTTGACTTCAGCACTATCATTTATCAATCATACTTCTACATGATCGTGTCTTTCCTCTCCCCAGTCTTCAATAGAACATAAGTTCCTCAGTGGTAGACATCATGGCTTCTCCTCTCCTTATGTCCCTAACTCCTAGTGCAGAATCTTCAACATAGAGACCTGACACCTTTTTCATGAGTTTCCATTGTTGGATCCCCCTCAAAAAAAATCTACCTTCAAGTTGCTTCTAATTTAGTTGGAAAGATGGATAAATGTAATGCATGAAAATGAAAAGTGAAAAAAAAATTTTTCTAAATATTCACCACAGGACAAGCACTGCAATGCACTGTGCTCATCACTGGAGACAGAAACAGGCAAGCAAAACAGCCCCATCCTCATAGGAAGAGACCAAAAAGAGGAGAGGGCTCAGCAAGATGGCTGATAATACCTAGGTCTCCAGAGCCCATAGCAGCAGAGCGGGCAGCAAAACCCAGAAGGCCAGAATGATCAGAACCAGAATCAATAGTAAGATTAGCATCCATGAAAAAGGAGAGCCCAACTCATTACAATGTGTGACAGAATGAATGGGGTGGCTTCCAAAGACTGGGAGCTCAGAGGAGAAAGAGTTGGAATCACCAAGGAAGGCCTCACACAAGCAATGATTTCAGGTAGACCTTGAAGGAACAATGGGACTTAGGTAGCCAAAGGGAAGAGCAAATTGCCCATGAAGAAAATTAGCCCCAAACTCAATGCCATGTCTCCATGAAATATGTTATGCACAACCCAGTCTACATCTGCTTTTGTTCACAGCTCACACGGTTATCAAATTTGGGCATGTTTCCTTTCCCAAGTTTTCTAAGGACAGGAGAAAGGACCAGTAGACACCTTGTGATTGGTTCAAACTTCTGTGCACTTGACTTTCCATGAAATAATTCCACTTCTCCTATGCAGTGTTTGGAAGCCTCAGTGAAGCATCTCTTTTCATCTATCAGGTTCCTTGCTGGAGAAGACTAAATAAGCAGGCATTAGTATTCATAAAAGCATAAGTAGGCACTGTAGTATTGTGCAGACATCCCTATCTGGCACATTTGCCCATTTGAAATTAGTGTTGTGAATCTTACAGCTTTTCCAGTAGCTACCTGAGGTTCTTCTGTCAGTGCTTTTTAAATTATTCAATGAATAAATAAAAATAAAATCTATGACAAGAGGCAGACATGTCATGGGACACAGAATTAATGATGTGATTCACCGCCGGGCCCAGCAGAAGACCAGGATGGGGAGATGGGTATTGTGCAAATACACCTATCTATAATAACAGCATGGTGAAATGAACCCATCATGGGCTTTTGTTTAATCTGTTCCTCCAACCCTACTCAAGCTGCACTGGAAGCCCCAGCCTAGAAATGGTGCCCAAACACAAGAGAACATGAAGCCATCATCTCCATCAGCCAAATGGGCTCCAAAAGTTCAAGCTCACTGGCACAAAGACTAATAGAGGCATTCAGAGCTTTTCAACTCCAAGTCACTGATAAATCCAGCCCACACTGGCAACAGCAATTACCATTTCCATAGCATGGCATACATCTTAACTAATGAACCTCTCAGCAGCCAGTTGGGGTTCCATGGCCATTTTACATTCATGGAAGCTGAGCCAGAGAGGTTAACAAAATCACTCCCTCCTAGCAACTAATCCCAAAGCCAACAGAGGCAACCAGAATTCACAGTGGAGACTTGCCTCCCCAGTCGTGCCGCTCAGATATTCATGGCCAGGCCTCTTCAGCAAGAAATGTGTCAGCTCTTTCCAGTGAGGCAAAACAGCTCTTCACAAAATTCTGATGGGGTCAGAGAGTGATGTGTGTGTGTGTGTGTGTGTGTGTGTGTGTGAGAGAGAGAGAGAGAGAAAGAGAG